TAGTGTAAACAAGAGTTAAAATGATTAAAATGAATAATTGATAATTTGAAATAGGAAAAAAGGTCCAAAGACGAAGGAGTGAAGGGAGGGAAAGGGGAAAGGAAAAGAGGGAAAGGAAAAACTATGAGAAAAGAAAAAAAAATGGAAATGAAATCTATGTAAATAGGGAAGGATGGAGGGGGTGAAGGGTGCACAGGTAATGGGGAAAAAAAGAAGAACCAAGATATATCATGTACAGGTACAAACACCCAATGATAAATGTAAATGAATTGTATACCTAAAGTGTACCAATAAAACGTACCAATAAAATTAATTAAAAAAAAAAAAGGATGTCCTTCCTGTCCTGTCCCCAGTAGTGGGCTGCTGAGAAGCAAACTGAGCAGAGCATAATCCAATACCAGGCAAAGCAGCTCTTCCTCCTCAGTGTCTCTCCATCACTTTCAACTGACAAAGCTGTATATCAAGCCAACTGGCAAGGGCAAAGTGCTCTAGGGTCATAAATAGGCAATAAATATTGGATTTGGAACTGAGAAGCAATGAATTGATAACTGGCACACACTCCTGAGCAACTGTCATTGCCAACAACCTACAAATCAGGCAGTGTCTCAATACTTAGGGGAAAAAACATGAAAATCAAGGAAAAGAATGGATTAATGTGCTTTGAGCAAAAACCACTATGGGGGATCAGTAGGGTAGGGAGGTTGGGGAACCACCTGGGAGATAACCAGTGAAGAACTCTGTTGTCACATGTAAGGAATATCAGTGTTCTGTTGTTGGAAGTAACAGAGAATTGAGTAGGGGTGGTAGAAGTTCAGTTAAAGACCTTGCAGTAGACTGGCCACATCAATACCAATGGTAGCATGGACAAGCAATAAGGTAAATGGAAATAACAAGTGTAAAAATTGGAAATAAGGAAATAGCATTGCTGCTGTTCACACAAAAAATGAGACAATCTACAGAAACGTACAATTAAAGTGCTCAAGGAAGAAGTTGTCAATCAGATCAATAGATAAAATGCAGTAGCATTTCATTTTCATAAGAATAATGAATTGGAAAATACAATTTTAAAAGAGTAAAAATTGTGTAACCGTTATTTTGCCTAGAAATATATCTGACAAAGGAATATACATGGAATTTATGAAAAAGTATATAATACTTTGTTGAATTATTTGAAGAACATAAAACAAAATCTGTGTAAGTGGAGACTGGTACAATCTTTACATATACTGGTTTGTTTTTAACACTTAAGGGATCAATTAAAACAAAATGTAGTCACTCAATTATAGTCCTACAAAGAAAACCGCACCCCAAAAATTCTGATCATATGTGAAAAAAATATAGTCTTAAGATTTTTAATGTTTTATTCTTAAATATATAAGAAAAACTAAAGACCATATGTCAAAGACAGTTTTCAACATATAAGAACTAAAGCATACAGAAACAGAATTATAACTAATATTTTTCTTTTCCTTTTAAAAAATTAAAAAATTTATTTGTGCATGTTTGCAGTATGTAATGATTACACTGCTCATAGGAAATTGATAGATATATATAACACACCTTACTTCTTTTTACTTTCCCTTTCCCTCCAGTCCTCCCCTCTCCCTGTATCTGTAGATCCCTTACCATTTGCAAAGATGTATCTCCCTTTTTCTTAATATCTTTTATTTTGGTCTTTAAATTCTTTATACTTTGAGTTTTTCATATAAGAGATACCATGTGATATTTAAGCTTGTGTGTCTTATTTTACTTGACATTATGATGTCAAGGTGCACACTTCTTCCTACAAATGACTGAAACTTATTCTTCTTTATGGCAGAGTAGTACTCCATTACGTATAAGTACCAAATTTTCTCTATCCATTTATCTGACCGATGTAAGACTTAGCTATTAAGAACTGTATTGCTATAAATATAGGTATACATTTATCACTGGAATATGGTATCTTTAACTCTTTAGGGAAGATACCTAGAAGGGGAATGCCTGAGTCAAATGGAATTTCTTTTTTTTGGTGGGGTACTGAGGACTAAACTCAGTGCCTTCACACTGAGATACAGTACCAGAACTTTGTTTTCATTTTTTTACTTTGAGGAAGGATCTCACAAAGTTGCTAAAATGGCCAAGGTAGGCTTGAACTTGCAATCCTCCTGTCCTAGGCTCCAAAAGCAGTAGGATTACAGGCTTGCACCACCATGCCCGGGTATTTTTTATTTTTGATAAATTTCTATACTGAATTCCCTGGTGGTTGTACTAGTTTACATTCTACCAACAATGTAGAAGGATTCCTTTTCCCCCACAGCCTCACCAGTAATTGTTATTTGATTTCCTGATGAGGACCATTTTTTTTTTTGGATCAAGATGGAATCTCAATGTAGTTTTAATTTGGATTTCTTTAATGCCTAGAGATGTTGAACATTTTTTCACGTATTCATTGAACACTTATTTGTTCTTCTTCTGAGAACTGTCTTTCAGTTCAGTTGCCCATGTTTTGATTGGATCTTTTATTTTTCGAAGTACAATTTTTTTGTGTCCTTCATAGAGTCTATGTATTAGTCCTCTGTCTGAGAAGTAGCTGGAAATAATTGTTTCCCATTCCGTAGGTTGTCTCTGAACTCTATTGGTTGTTTATTTTAGTGGGTAGAAGATTTTTAATTTGATATAATTCCATTTGTTGATTCTTGATGTTATTTCTTATGCAAATGGGGTTTTGTTCAGAAAGTCTTTACCTGTGTCTTTACCTTTAATAGTTTTATCTACTTTATTTTCCAGCAGATTCAATGTTTTTGTTTTAATATTTAGGTCTTTGATCCATTGTGATTAATTTTAGCACATGGTCAGAGATTTGGGTCTAGATACAATCTTTTGGATGTGGATAGCCAGTTTTTCCAGCACTACTCGTTAAAGAGGCTACCTTTCCTTTAGTGTATATTTTTGACCTCTTTGTCAAAGATCATTTGGCTGAATATGCTGGTATTATTTGTGCATCCTCTGTTCTGCTCCACTGATTTGCATGTGTCTTTTGTGTCTGTATTATGCTGCTTTTTATCACCGTAGCACTGTGATGTAACTTGAAATCCAGGATTGTGCTGTCTCCTGCTTTGCTGTTGTTGCCCAGAATTGCTTTTGCTATTCTGGATCTCTTCTGGTACCTGTTAATATGTTGGTAGTTAGCATATCTTTGAACCTTCTATGCACAGTTTTTGTGAGGGTTACCCTGATTTGCCCATGAAAGGTACTATTTAAATTAAAACACAAGTTAATTCTTATTCTCCTTTGCACATGTACAGACACCTCAATATACATATATATATATCACACACACACATATATATATCATATATATATATTCATATGAAAGAAGAGAGAGGAAAAATGGAAAAAAATAAAAAGACAAAAAAAATCCATGCAGTTGCAACAGCAGAAAATCAAATCCACCTCACAAAATCTTAATAGAATTAGATAAAAATAACAGAAAAGAACAAACAAGTAAAAGAAAAGAAAAATAAGAAAAATGAACAAAATAAACAGCAAAAGGGGAAAATGAAGAAGACCCCAACCCCCTAAAAGTAACACAGAAAAAGAGAAATGAGTCCAAAAAATTTCTCCATGTGTTTCAATGAGTGGTTTCTTTCCAGGGCCTGGAGTATGGAGATCCACCAGATGTGGAGGAGGTATGGTGAGTCACTACTAAGTCCTATTTTGTTGCCACATTCACTTCTTTTTGTGTGAATGCTGAGTCCTGCCCAGCCTTTCCTGCTGAGCAAGGCCAATCAACGGTGTGGTGTCTGGCCTGGAACTGTATTCACTCCGGCTGCCTGCAGTGTCCATATTCCTCTGTGCGCCCCAAGCCACTCATCACCTAGCTTTATGGCCTGTGGGTTTGTGAAGTCCCCCTTGCTCCAGAGGCCCTGAATCCTTGTACCCCAGATTGTGGCAGCTGTCCAAGCTGAGGCATAGCCTTAATCATGTTGGCAGATGGGGGAAGCAAAAAGACCAATGAGCTCTGTGCTGGGTGTAGGCTGTGAGGTGGTGGTGGTGGGGGTGTCAAGCAACCCACTGGACTTAGTGTTAGCACTTTCAGACTCAGTTCTCTTTGGGAACCAGAGGCAATCAACTTGGCTTCTTATCACAGAGGACAGAATCACCAGCTCCTTCTTAGTGTGAGCTGGCCACTGCTTAACCTTCTCCGGGAGTCTGTGTGGGGTACATCTTCTCCACAACTGTCTCTTGTGACTGTCGCCCAACCAGTTGCTGTTTGCAGGGTGACTATGGAAACTCTGAAGTATGGTTGTTCTATGGTTTCTGATTCTTGAATTAGCTCAGTTTTAAACAACCCCTTCTCACAATGGATCTTGATTAATCATTTTCAGGTATGGCGAGCAGAACAGTGGATTTCTGCTCCAACTCTAGCCTGCCACACAGGAGTCGCTTTTCAGAGTCAAGCCCCCCACCATATTTGCTATTTATAATAAATGCGAGTCTTTCTTGAGGCTGCCTCTGTCGCTGGTCCCATTGTCTCTCCCTGGGGTTTCCGACCCTTTCCCAGGTTACCTTATTCTTGCAGAGATAGGTCCTCCTCCCTGGGTCCCAGGGTTAGGGTTCCAGCATGCTTCCTTATTCTTCTGCATTGTCTTCGTTTCTTTCGTTTCTCTGGGATTTCTGATTTTCTGGTCAGCTTTTTCTTGCTTTCTGGAAGTTTTCTCTTTGCTAGGCTGTTGTTTTCCAGGTGTTGTGAGTCCAGGTCCTGGAAGTTATGATATGCTGCCAGATATTACACCACCATCTTCCTTTTAACTAACATTTCTTTTGTTTTGTTTTGTTTTTGGTACCGGGGATTGCATTCAGGACCTTGCGCTTGCGAGGCAGGCGCCGAAACCACTGAGTTAAATCCCAGGCTAGCTAACATTTTTTTAAAGATAGAAGAAATCATAGCACCCCTGGAAACAGAGAATGCTATAAAAAAATCACAAAAATGGAAAGACCACATAACAACACATAAGAGATCACAAACGAAAGTAAAAATCGGGTTGGGGGTTTAGCTCAGTGGTTTCGCCACCTGCTGCACAAGCGAAAGGATCTGAGTTTAATCCCCGGCATCCCCCCAAAAAGGAAAAAAAAAAAAGAAAGTAAAAACTTATCTGTGCTTTTTTTCGGGGGGGGGGTGCCGGGGATCGAACTCGGATCCTTCTACTTGCGCAGCAGGCAGTGAAACCACTGAGCTAAATCCTCAGCCTTTAAAGTAAAAATTTAATAATCAATTTGAGAAAGATAAAAATCAGAGGTTAAAAAAGGAACTGGAAAATGAGAGGAAAGAGAAGAACATTAGACATTTAGTGCCCTAAGTGTGAGGTTCGACCAGAGCATGAGTGAGGCCGCTGAGGCAGGCAAAATCTAAGCACTATGTGATGTCATCCATTGGAGTGCAGATGGGCCAAGGGCGAAAAGGAAGGAGGCCGTGGGCAGTTTATATAGGGGAGCTTAAGTAGGGGAGGGGGTGTCAGCTCAGAGGGTGCAAAATTTTGGGGTCTCTTGGGTGATCGGCTTGAGGCTGGTGAACAGGACGGGGTGAAGGTAGCAGGGTGATGGCAAGTATAGCAAGGTACGGCGGGTACCTTGTGGTTTTTCGGAGAATGGGTCTCCCTGGAGGTGTGAATGAGCGAGGCGGCAGCGGGCTTCCTGTTACAGCTGTTCTTGTAGGCAATACATCTGCTGGGGTTTTTTCTTTCTCAGTTGGGCAGGGGTCTCTCTTGGGGGCCTGTCAGTAATTATAGCATTTGATTAGTAGGAATTGCAGAAAAATAGAACAGGTAATAGAATACTGGGGAGGAAATGATCAAAGATACAGTAAAAGAAAATTCTCTCAAGCTGAAGTACATAAATTTCCAGGTTGAAAAAAACCTCACAGACTATACAACGTAAGAAATAGAAAATGGCTGTATCAGAGCTTGAATTATGATATTGGAAGTCTTAAGTATTTTAGGAGACATTAAGATCTATCAAAAAATAAGCAGGTTATGTATATATAAAGGTTCTAAAAGAGAAATGTCATTTAAAAATCAATATTACACTCTAGAAGAAAATGGGCTAATCTTCTATTAGCAAAATAATTCCATGCCTAACCAGAGTAACAATCAATGTAAATGTAGAGTAAAACATTTGTAGAATGAGAGACTTTCTAAAAATTTGCCCCCTGAGCAGCATTTTTTTGGAAACTAATGAAGAATAGTCTCTGATCACGTTAAGTGATTAAACCAAGAATGAAGAAGATATAAGATCCCAGAGACGGAAGATACAACCTAGAAGAAAACAAAGAAAAGCCTTGGTATGACAGTGTGTTGAAAGCTTAGAGGGAATCCATGAAATGGTAGCAGGTGGTCAGAGAGCTCCAGGAAAGAGTCGGTACATATCTCTAGCTCAGAAACAGAATTAACAAATTACCAGGTGACAGGGTGTAAAATTACATCAAGAGATATTTTTACAGAACTGTAGAAGGTGTAAGAAGCCATTCATTGATTTAAAAAAAGCTAATGAAATAAAAGAACGGCATTGTACAACTTCAGCAAAAACCAAAAGAAGTACTAGTGGGGAAAGTAAGTTGCAATAAACTCTATAGTAAAATATATCTACATAGTTATAGTACCAAATTTAGTCAATATATTTTAAAAATTTGTGAGACAATAGTAGTAGGAAAATGGGAAGAGGAAGTCTAGAAAGTTAATGTAATGGAATAATCAACAGAAAGTCCAGCACTGTTGACTGTGCATTATATATATAATGTTCAGATGTGTGGAGGGAAATCTTAAAAACAATAGCAAAAGCTGTTATTGATGATGCCAAAAGCAGTATATGATTGCTTGCAGGAAATTGAGTGGAGGTGAGAATGTGAGAGAAGTTTTGCTGTGTAGATCCTATCTGCATGTATTCTAGAATTTCTGAGAAGGATGATTTTTGGCATTTTGGGTGGTAATGCTTCTTCTTGTGGGACAATCCTATGCATTGTAGGCCATTTGAAAGGAGTAGCCCTTAAAAACTGAATGCCAAAAACACCTCTTTTTCAGTGTGACAACCCTAAATACCCCTATATTTTCCTAAAGCTCTCAGAAGGAAAATGGTATTACTTGAAGCCAAGAGCCATTGTTATATTCCTTTGATCAAAAGGAAAGAAATTGTAAAAATAAATAGAACTTGTAGCATGCAAAATAGAGAATTTTTTTAAAATGAGCATATTATGCAATTACATTTCAAGATTTTACTGAAACCTGGTTTTCCTAATAAAATTGAAATTATAAAAAATAATAAATGGGGGCAACCCACTTTCTGGTCCCCCTTCTGTGTCTCTTAGACAGAAACTTTCTTTCTCTCAATAAATTTTTCCCACTCTTAACCTTCGTTGTTCCTAGAATTTGTTTTTCGATTTTAGAGAACATGAACTTGCATTTCGGATATCTACTAGGTTGGGAGTTACATCTCTTCCCCCTATATCATTTTTGAGGTCCCACTGAGATTACTGGTCGGAGGTAAAAGTTTGCTTTTGTTCCATAAGTTCTAACTTTGGTCTTTTTGCTTCATAGAGCGTAACTTTTTGTTTCATGGGCTCTGGCTATTTGTTTCACAGATTCTGGTTTCTGTTTCATAGATTCTGGTTTTTGTTTCAAAAGTGTCTTAATTTTAAGTTGTGTGTTTTAAATATTTGTAAATTTCTTGGTTTCTTTAGAAATTATCTTTTGTTAAAATTACATTTTATTTTTGTTTTGTATGTGTTGTATTTGGATTTAGTTGCTTAAAAATGTAAAATGGATCTCTTATAAAATCGACTCAGAAAAAGACAGTTCAGGCTTTTATCTGTCCCTTACAGAATGCCAAACAGTGGTTACTCTGCCAGCTAGTAATCACCTTTAGGGCAGCTGGCACTCTCAAAGCAGAGGGCAGGTTTCTCCAGTTGCCCTCTGGTGAATCCCCACTCCCATTGACACCAATGGCGGGTGGAACATTGATCAGATAGGCAATTGGGTTCCTTTCAGAGACAGATCTCTGATTGCATGGAACTAGCAGAAACTGAGGTGACATGGCCAGGGCTACTCTCTGGCAGATACTCAAAGGTCCCTCAGAAGAAACTAGCTCCCAACAGCCCATCCAGGTAATCAACAGTGATCTGAAACGATGTCGTCAGAGCCTTTTCTTAAGCCTCCGTTAAGAGTTGAGCTGCAGGTGTGGACTGCTTTCTCTACTATTAGTAAGACCTCTAGACAACTGTACAAAACAAATCTTTGATTGAGTAAAAATACCTTTACCTTTTCTCCCACCTAGGCAAGGTCTTCATCATTTATCTGTGTAGGGGAGAAAAATGCCTTTTCTGATAGGTTATGGACTTTGGAACATTGACTGTGGACTTATAAAATGCTGTATGATGATTTTTGGATGTTTAACCAGATTGAGCTTTATTTGGACTTTTTCTCTCTGCTAGTGAGTTAGAAATTCCCCTTAAACTTTTCTCCACCTTGTTGGGAGTTCATTTGAGAATCCCTTGTAGTCAGACTGCTCCGCTCCTCCTTCCAGAGAGTCAGACTAAGGCAACTTGCAACAACTGTTTTGTCTTGAACTAGGGAAAATAACAATCAGTAACTTGCATTTGTGTTTTTACATGCTAAATAGAATATGGGACTATTTTGATCAGCCTTTCTCTTCCTTCATGCATGTGTGTAGGAAGTTGATAAAGGTGCCTTTACCATGTAGATTGTGGCCCCTAGGAGGACCTATGAATTTCAAATACTTAGTGAATTTAAAATGGGCCTTAAAGGAGTAGCCTTGTCTTGCTAATAAAAGTTGCCTAAATGACTGGATAGACAACAGAAATTTCTCAGAGCTTTCTCTGCCCTAGGGCTCAGGGCAGAATCTCAGAGCAATCTGTGGAGGTGATCTCTTTTGCAGGAAAAGTGCCCTAATTTGACTGTTGACCTATTTTCCTCCTTCTCTTTCAAGGAACTAGATAGCAGTGGTTTAAATCTCTTGGTTTACTAGCAATACTTCCTTCTCTAAACATGATTGTTATGGCTTAAGTCAATTGTAGCTTGTGCTTTAAGAGTACCTACCGGAGTAAGGATATGAGTTACCTGAGGAAGATAAGATCTTGCTCTGGTAAACAGCAGATAGTCCAGTCCAGTTTTATTTTCTGGTTCTCTCTCCAGATGGTAGCTACCTACCCTGGAGTGGTATAAACCTTGGGGGATGCACTGGGGATGCCCTAGGGGTCACAGGAATCAAGCACTTATGGGACGCCATATTTGTTTCTCTTGTTTCAAATTGGGACTCTATATCTGAACCTCTTACTCCTTTGGAATATATTAAGGAGCAGTTTAGTATTTCTCTACACCCATGTGTTGTGTACCTACCTCCTAAAGCCAAGTACACAGAGGAAAGTACTATGATGCTATCTCACAATTAGAATTATACTGTAAAAGAGAAAATGGTTAAAATAATCTTATGTTGATATTTTCTTTACATTAAGAAGTAATTCTTGCTTGTGTTCAAATATAAATGTGGGCCATAGAAAAATGAGAGACACATCACCTTTAAGGTATTTGGTACCTCTAAGCCTAAGGCTACTCCTCACCCTAACCACCAGGTGCTGAAGTGGAATTTCTAGGCCAGCTATAATTAATTTCCATGAGGCTATATCCATCCTTAGCTAAGTTGTTGAGGTCCCTCGAAGACAATATCCCTTGCAGGAAGTAAATGGAAAATATGGGACTACCTGTGTTCATGTGTCTTTTTCTCTCAGTGATCTAAGACAGATTAAATGAGACCTGGGTGGGGATTTGGCTCAGTGGTTCTGCCACCTGCTTCACTAGCGCAAGGACCTGAGTTTGATCCCTGGCACCAAAAAAAAAAAAAAAAAAAAA